GAGGGAGAGAGAATACAGAGATAGAGAGGGAGAATACAGAGAGAGAGAGAATACAAACACAGAGAGAGAGAGGGAGAATACAGAGAGAGGGAGAGGGAGAGAATACAAACATAGAGGGAGGGAGAATACAAACAGAGAGAGAGAATACAGAGAGAGAGGGAGAATACAGAGAGAGAGAGAGCCTCTGGCGGAGTGGTGCCGGGGGAAGAGCTTCTACTTTAAACACGTCCAGTCACGTTTGAATGGCAGACATTTGTCAGGGCTGTTTGCATACAAAGCAGGAGCGGGGGTGGGGACCCTGGCGATCGGAGGGGTGGCGTGGGGGACGGGGACCACACCGCGCTGTGTAAACAGGAAACCTTGAATCACAAGCGGACACGCGTCAAAAGGCATCTGCTTAATTTTTGCTCGGGGGGGAAAAAATTACTTGGAATACCCCCCGACCCCCCCCCACCACCACCCCCCCCCATACCCCCCACCACCCCAACACCCCCCCAACATCCCCCACCACCCCCCGACCACCCCCCCAAGGGGCCTTCAAAATCTTCAGCCGGTCCTGAGTGGACCCACCGACACTGCTGGGTGGCAGCTTTCTCGGCGGGTCTAAATAAATAAGTCGCCCGTTATCCTGCTTTTAAGAGCTTCGTAAAAGTGAGAGATGCGACAGAGCTAAGGGGGCTTTCAAAGAGACGACCCGTTTTATGGATCCGAAACGCACGCACGTGCGTTTGTGTGCTTATTTTATTTTTTGTTAACGATAGCAGGCGCGCTCACTCTCGCCCGGGGCCTGTTGAGCAACGCGGCTCGTTCCAGACCACGACGGAACAGCCGCTCACCACCGTCATTGCCTAGGGAGGGAGGTGAGGGAGGTGAGGTGAGGGGAGGGAGGTGAGGGAATGAGGGAGGGAGGTAAGGGGGGTGAGAGAGGGAGGGAGGTGAGGTGAGGGAGGTGAGGGAATGAGGGAGGTGAGGGAATGAGGGAGGGAGGTGAGAGGGGGAGGTGAGTGAGGGAGGTGAGAGAGGGAATGAGGGAGGGAGGTGAGAGAGGGAGGTGAGAGAGGGAATGAGGGAGGGAGGTGAGAGAGGGAGGTGAGGGAGGGAGGTGAGGGAGGGAGGTGAGGGAGGGAGGTGAGGGAGGGAGGTGAGAGAGGGAGGTGAGAGAGGGAGGTGAGAGAGGGAGGTGAGAGAGGGAGGTGAGAGAGGGAGGTGAGAGAGGGAGGTGAGAGAGGGAGGTGAGAGAGGGAGGTGAGAGAGGGAGGTGAGAGAGGGAGGTGAGAGAGGGAGGTGAGAGAGGGAGGTGAGAGAGGGAGGTGAGAGAGGGAGGTGAGAGGGAGGTGAGAGGGAGGTGAGAGGGAGGTGAGAGGGAGGTGAGAGGGAGGTGAGAGGGAGGTGAGAGGGAGGTGAGGGAGGGAGGTGAGAGAGGGAGGTGAGAGAGGGAGGTGAGAGAGGGAGGTGAGAGAGGGAGGTGAGAGAGGGAGGTGAGAGAGGGAGGTGAGAGAGGGAGGTGAGAGGGGGAGGTGAGAGGGGGAGGTGAGAGGGGGAGGTGAGAGGGGGAGGTGAGCGGGGGAGGTGAGAGGGGGAGGTGAGAGGGGGAGGGAGGGGAGGTGAGAGGGGGAGGTGAGAGGGGGAGGTGAGAGGGGGAGGTGAGAGGGGGAGGTGAGAGGGGGAGGTGAGAGAGGGAGGTGAGAGGGGGAGGTGAGAGAGGGAGGTGAGAGAGGGAGGGAGGGGAGGTGAGGTGAGGACGAAACGCCTGCTGAGTCCATTGCCTCCTGACCGTCCGTCTGCAGGGCCCCCCACGGAATATCAACTGGTAAAGGGGCGATGTGCAGGAGTGGCGGGGGGTGGGTAGTGGTGGGGGTGGGTAGGGGTGGTGCACGCCGCTGCTCAGCGAAGGCGCTGTGCTCGAATCTCTCGTGTGCCCGCCGCAATTGCAGCGATTGAACTGCTCCCTTGACGGCCTCTGTGGCTTGATGATGGCCGTGACCTCCCTCACCTCCCTCACCTCCCTCCCCTCCCTCACCTCCCTCACCTCCCTCACCTCCCTCACCTCCCTCACTTCCCTCACCTCCCTCACCTCCCTCCCCTCCCTCACCTCCCTCACCTCCCTCACCTGACCTCCCACGCCTCTATCTCACTTGCAACCCAATTCAACCCATTGCTTAAATAATAATTCTCATAATAATAATAAGAAGAATTCCTCTTCTTTTCAGAAGACGTTTGAAAATATGCAACTGGTGCACAATTTTTTATTTCCTAAGCCATCTGTCGGCATCCGCTGCTGGATGAAGTAGCCCCCCCCCCCCCCCCCACGGCGAGTCGGCGGCCATGGGGATTGTTTGACCGTACCGCACCGCGCTGGTCATTCCGGTGTTAGCGAGAGGTCGTGGGGTCAGCCGGGACCGTAACGTCCACATCGTGCAAATTGCGGCGTTGCTCTCAGCCTTTGATTAAGAAGAACGCAATCGGGACAATGGGAGGTTGGGTTGCACGTGGTGGAACGTGTCGAGTGGTCCGCGCAGCTTGCCCCACCGACCCGGCCACCCGGCTTCGATTCCCGCTCGCGACCAGCAAGAGCGGCGACCGTCCGAACCGTTCCCGGAGCTCCCCTCGGCCTGCTCGGCCTCGAACGAACACGTGAGCGCAGCCGGGTAGGCAAAGGCGGGCCGGGCGTGGCGCCGCTTGCCCATCCTTCCTCCGCCGTCGTAGGCCGCGGCCCAGCCGTCATCGGCGCCGCTCGCTCTCACGGCGCTTGCCCCGGCGGTCCGTTAAAGGCTACGGGCGGGGGGTGGTGGTGGTGGTGGTTGTGGGTCTCTGTGCCGCGAGAGCGGACGAACGTGGCACGGCACGGCCCGGTTTGGGGGCCACGCGCGCTGCGGAGGAAGCAGTCCGACCGCCGGGCGGCGTTAATTATTACCGAGAGCCGCAAAATCATCAACGACTTCAAAGCGAGGAGTTTTTATTCGCACACTCCCTGTGACCGCGGTTGGTTTCTTTCTTCATTTTTATTTATTTACGGGAGGTAAAACCCCCCGCCGCCCCCCCCCCTCCCCCCCCCCCTTCGTGGCGGGGTCACCGCCGAGGAGGAGGTCGGCTGAGCAGCGAGAGGGGAGCAGCGCTAATGAGTCTCCCACTTAACGATGCGCGCGTTCCACTCTTCCGCTCGTTTCTTAGCTCGCTAATCCCGCACCCCCCCCCTCCCACGGATGCAGGTGGACTTGGCTGATTTTTGTTGTTGTTATCTAACTCAGACGGGCATTATTCCTGTGTAGAAACTTGCCCTTTTCTTTCAAGCTTCCGTTTGGTTAAGGCAAAATGAAGCGAGCAGTTTAACGTGTCGGCTTTTCACGACCAATATTATCCACAATCGAGGTGTTTTGGGTTAGATCGCGTAAATATATAAAAGCGTCGTTAAAACCCGTCAACGCCCGACACAGCCAACTAGTAAGGTTTGTCGCGTAAACAAAACGTGCCAATGTGTTACCAGTACAGCACACCGGTGTGTCTTGAGATTAAACTCACGTATACAATTAGAGAGTTAACCCACAATATTTACATTTGTAAATTAGACAGTAAACCCACGACACAGCCAATTAGTAAGTTCAGCACACCGGTGTGTCGGAGAGTAAGCCCTCTCTCGGAGCACACACGCGGTGCGTTGAACTAGTCACGAATGGCCACGTTTTTGCTTCCGTGACACAACCTTGGTAATTGGCTGTGTCGGGTGGTAGTGGCAGGTTTAATGACACATTTCTATTTACGCGATCTCACCCAAACAACCTCTGTTGTGGAAAAGTTTCCGGAATGACCATTGCCCGCTCGTGTTGGCTAGGAGATGTTAACTGCATCGCCTGGTGTACAGGAGGTCGTGGGTTCGATCCCGACCCTTGACGCCTGCTGTATGTTTGGAGTTTGCGATGTCTCTCTCCCCGTGGTCACGTGGATTTCTGTTCGGGTCCTCAACATCACGCGGTTAAGAGTATTTGGCTGATGCTCTAAATTTCCACGTGATAAGCCACTTTCGTTGAACTATCCTTTGTGGTGGCCTAGTCGCTTGTGAAAAGGAGCTGTTACGGCTCAGTGGGCCTTGCCCTGGTAAAATAAAATACAAATTAAATAGTTTAGAATGGTTTAGATCTTCAGCTCAACGCCTTCACCTCCTCCCCACTTATTTTACGTTCTTCTACCTCTTTTACGTCCGTATTGGACAAAAACAACAGGGAGCTTACTTGGCGCCTCTTCCTCTCACCCGTTAGGTCTGCACTTTTTCTGTTGTTGTTGATGATGATCTAATGTTCTTGTTGTTGTTGTTGATGATGATCTAATGTTCTTGTTGTTGATGATGATGATGATGATCTAATGTTCTTGTTGTTGATGATGATCTAATGTTCTTGTTGTTGATGATGATGATGATCTAATGTTCTTGTTGTTGATGATGATCTAATGTTCTTGTTGTTGTTGTTGTTGATGACGATCTAATGTTCTTGTTGTTGATGATGATGATGATGATCTAATGTTCTTGTTGATGATGTTCTGATGTGGTTGATGGTTGCAATCGGTGTCTCTGAGGGCAGGGGGGGGGGGGGGGGGGGAGGGGGGGGGACGAAGGCGGAGGAGGGGGGAAGGAGGGGTGGGGGGAGGAGGGGGGAGGGAGGGGAGGAGGACCGGGAGGAGGAGTGGGGGGGAAGAGGAGGAAGGGAGGAGGAGGCGGGGGGGGGGGAGGAGGGGGAGGAGGGGGGAGAGGAGGGGGTGGAGGGGGAGGGAGGGGAGGAAGAGCGGGAGGAGCAGTGGGGGGGAGGAGGAGGAAGGGAGGAGGAGGCGGGGGGGGGGGAGTAGGGGGGTTGGGGAGGAGGAGGAGGGGGAGGAACTTCAAAGCCATGAGGTGGAGATGTTGGGGTCTTTAACGAGGTGGTGTTTATCCTCAAACGAGGACGATCGTGATGCGAGTTGTCGACGCGTGAACACGTGACCGCCCGCCCGCCCTCCCCCACCCCCCTGGTCAGGTGTTGGAGTTTGTTCGCGTCACGCTGGAGCGGGCCACCGCCCGGCGAGGTGGCGGAGGTGGGCACGGGGAGGAGCGCCGCCTGGAGGCCGAGTCGCTGCGCCTGGCCATGGGACTGGCGGCCGTCACGCTCGGCGGAGCCCAGGTGACGAGTCCCCCCCAACAACCCCCCCACCACCCCCCCCCCCCGCCCCCGCACGGCACCCCCCAACTGCACGTGCTGCTGGCTCCCTACCCTCGGTCCGATTCCTAGTCAACTGCCTCGCCCGGTCTGCAGGAGGTCGTGGGTTTGATGCCGACCCTGACGCCCGCTGTATATTTGGAATTTTCTCCGGGATCCTCCCGGCTTTTCCCCTCCGCGTTTTGGACTCGACGTCGCCCGTCCGGAGTGTTTGGCTGCCGCTCATGAATTAGCACGCGACGGCGAGCCACTTCGTTGAGCGAGCATTTGTGGCGGCCAGTTCGCTTCTGAATAAAAATAGCTTCACAGCAGCTCAGCGGGGCCTTTACCTGGTAAAGTAAAATAGTTTAGTTGAAGTCGGTTATAGTTCGTAAGCCTGCACGGCTGCCGAATGAGCGGACTTCAGAGCGTGCGTCCCCCCCCAACTCGCACTTCAAGGCGGGGGCAGCAATGCGGGATTCAGCTTGACGTTCGCTACCACTCTACGATACTATAGAGTCAGTAGATACTACTATAGAGTCAGTAGATACTACTATTGAGTCAGTAGATACAACAGGGTCAGTAGATACTACTGTAGAGTCAGTGGATACTCCTATAGAGTCAGTAGATACTACTGTAGTGTCAGTAGATACTACTATAGAGTCAGTAGATACTACTATAGAGTCAGTAGATACTACTGTAGAGTCAGTAGATACTACTATAGAGTCAGTAGATACTACTATAGAGTCAGTAGATACTACTATAGAGTCAGTAGATACTACTATAGAGTCAGTAGATACTACTATAGAGTCAGTAGATACTACAAGTCAGAAGATACTACTGTAGTGTCAGTAGATACTACTATAGAGTCAGTAGATACTACTATAGATGCAGTAGATACTACTGTAGAGTCAGTAGATACTACTGTAGTGTCAGTTGATACTACTATAGAGTCAGTAGATACTACTATAGAGTCAGTAGATACTACTATAGAGTCAGTAGATACTACTATAGAGTCAGTAGATACTACTATAGATGCAGTAGATACTGTTGTAGAGTCAGTAGATACTATTATAGAGTCAGTAGATACTACTATCGAGTCAGTAGATACTACTATAGAGTCAGTAGATACTACTGTAGATGCAGTAGATACTACTGTAGAGTCAGTAGATACTACTGTAGAGTCAGTAGATACTACTGTAGAGTCAGTAGATACTACTATAGAGTCAGTAGATACTACTATAGAGTCAGTAGATACTACTGTAGAGTCAGTAGATAGTGCTGTAGAGTCAGTAGATACTACTATAGAGTCAGTAGATACTACAAGTCAGAAGATACTACTGTAGTGTCAGTAGATACTACTATAGAGTCAGTAGATACTACTATAGAGTCAGTAGATGCTACTATAGAGTCAGTAGATGCTACTATAGAGTCAGTAGATACTACTATAGAGTCAGTAGATACTACTGTAGAGTCAGTAGATACTACTTTAGAGTCAGTAGATACTTCCATAGAGTCAGTAGATACTACTATAGAGTCAGTAGATACTACTGTAGAGTCAGTAGATACTACTGTAGAGTCAGTAGATACTACTATAGAGTCAGTAGATACTACTGTAGAGTCAGTAGATACTACTGTAGAGTCAGTAGATAGTGCTGTAGAGTCAGTAGATACTTCTGTTGTTGGCCATGGTCCGGAGAAACGGGACGCGGCTCACCCGAGTTTGTAGGTGCGGCGCGCTGACCACTGGCGCCTGCAGCTCTCTCCCCGTTATCTGGAGCTATGCAGCTCCTCCCGTTATCTAGAAGCCACTGGGAGCTGTGTACTTTTACATAATTTAGATTGAAAGCTAATTTATTTAGAACTTGCTTCTTGTGTTTGTTGTCTCCCCCCCCCCCCCGCACTTCCGATTAGCACGATTGGCTACGTACAGTGCGAAAGAAGTTCGACATACATAGACTCACACAGAGACCCATAGACTCACACAGAGACACATAGAATCACACAGAGACCCATAGACTCACATAGAGACCCATAGACTCACACAGAGACCCATAGACTAACACAGAGACACAGAGACTCATAGACTCACACAGAGACCCATAGACTCACACAGAGACCCATAGACTAACACAGAGACACAGAGACCCATATACTCACACAGAGAGCCATAGACTCACACAGAGGCCCATAGTTTGTTGTCATTTGCCCCGCACTTCCGATAAAAACTGTTGTCTACGTGAGGTGAGAAGGAAGGTCAAAATGCGTACACTGATAGTAACAACGGCCGTTGGTCACCCGGGGAAATCGTCGCCGAGTGTCGTGACTCTCGCTCCGGAGAGTGCCGCTCCGTTGGGACGTTGGGCCACCTGCTCCGCTCGTGAGCGTTTGGCTTCGCGCGGGAGGACTCCGGAAAACGCCGGACTAAAACCCACGGACCCGTACGACGTTGTAACGCTCGGAAGCTCTCGCATGGGGCAGATTCGGGAAATTCTACTGCCGAGTCTTAGCCACCTGGCAGGCCAAGCCTCCCCAACGCCCGGCATTCCCGGCCAGTCTCGCATCTCGGTACTAACCAGGCTCCAATGCCCGCTTAGATTCTGACCGGATCAGACGCTTCTCTCCGATGCCTGTGCGTCCGCAGTTAAGTCCGGCTGACCGGGCGGCCCAGGCGACCCTGCTGGGTCCCCTCGAGAGGATCGTGAACTCTGACCCCGATCCCGACCTCCGCGACCTGGCCTCTGACCTCCGCATCGCCATAGCGACGCACGGAGCGGTCTGCGGAGACAATTTGGCGGAGGCATCACGGGCGACCATCGGCCGGAAAGCGGAGGAATCGGGAGACCAAATACGGTCCCGAGAGGTGAGTGGGGGGGAGGGGAGTGGACGGGGAGGGGAGTGGACGGGGAGGGGAGTGGGGGGGGGAGGGGAGTCGGGGGGGGGGAGTGGAGGGGGAGGGGAGGGGAGGAGAGTGGGAGGGGACAGTCCAAGCGGCAGCGCGTTCGTGGCTTGGGCCGAGCGGCCGCCCTGGTTAACGTCGCAAGTGCATGAAGCGTGGCTGTGCACTGGCTGCTCGACAGCTTTATGCCGACGGTCCCGCAACGTCAGTCGACAAGCACAGGCCGTGTCGGGTCCCGGCGTCACGGGCCAAATTGGGGAAAATTTTAAGAGTCGCTTGCCTTGAATTTCTTAATTGGGTAAAAGCACAGCGGGGCATCACCCTCTCCTGGCAGACTTCATTCATCTGTAGAGCACGGCGCCTGCCTTCGCGCTGTAAGAAAAGAGTAATTTTGAAATATTCTAAATTGTTGTTATGATTATCAGAACATCCCCTTGCTCAAGAAGGATTTGGGCTGAACTGATATCCGTTGGTAATTCTGATTCTGAGTCAACTAAAATCTCTTACGGTACAGAATCCACATTCCTATGACGGCCTCCATTCCACTGTTGTTGGTCTACTGCTGCTGCTTTTTCTTCTGATGATAGTGATGATGGTGCTGGTGGTGCCTGATGGTGGTGCCTGATGATGATGATGGTGGTGATTATGGTGATGGTGGTGATGATGATGATGGTGGTAGTGATGATGGTGGTGGTTGATGGTGGTGATGATGATGATGATGGTGGTGTGATGGCTGATGATGATGGTGGTGTGATGGTGGTTGATGATGGTCATGGTGGTGATGATGATGATGGTGGCTGATGATGGACTAACTGAGTTAATCCCCGACCAAGATTTCATGCTCTTGACCTTCATATGACCAAAAACTACTATAGTAATATGACCGTCATAATATATATAAATTGTCATATTGTTGTAGACAAGTAAGAAACAAACGTTACTATCGCTCGTGTTTGTTGTAGCCATTGTTTGATAGCCATCGTGAGAAAAAAATAATCGTACCACATTTGTCCCCTTGCATTGGATGGATGGCAGGGTGTCTGTGGGCCGCAGACGACATGGATGGCCGGAGTTCAGAAGCACCGATTCATCCGTACGGCTGGATGAGCGTTCATTATTTGATGGGCCCAACTCCCTCTGTGCAAGGGGTTTTCGCTTAGCCGGCTCTTAATCGGCCACTGTCAAGAAATTGGAGCGAAATATCCGGTCTGAGCGGTGGTGGCACCGGTGCAGCGGTGCCACTCGCACCACGTGTCCCGACTTGGGTACCATTTTCCGGTTTCCTCCCATAGCAAATAATGTCACTGGCATTGCCCCAAAGAACCCAATGTTACAAAATGACCTGCAAATTCCTACGTCGGGGATTACACGTAGCGGCAACATTGCCTGCCACCGCGAAAACATGGCAGTCTTGGAGACTCGCGAGTGAGCCTTTGCTGGGTAAACAAACATCACGATAATCATCATCGGCGGCGGCGAAGGCGGCGGTGTTGACGCGGATGTGTAACCCACGCGGACTGACCGTGCCTCCCCCGACCCCGCCGACCCAGGGGCGGCCCTCACCGCCACGGGGTCACCGCCCGGCCGCCTCCCCGGTGACCGTGCAGGACATGCTGGAGGCGACCCACGACCCCGAGGTGCCGGTGAGGGCGGCCGCATTGCGCACCCTCACCGGGCTGATCCAGCAGCGCCGCGCCGACGCCGTCGAGGAGCAGGACAAGATCCTGGAGGTGTGCGACGGGGCGCGAAACGCGCGCCAGCTGCGCCCCTCTCTCCCGCCCGCCCGCCCGCCTCGCCCGGCCCCGGCCATCCGTCAAATAAAACAAACGCCGACGTCGGGGGCTTTTTTTTTTTGCTTCCGAGGCCTTCCCGCGGCTGCCGCGGGTCACGTGGCGGCCGGTGTCGGCTTACGAGGGACTCCCCCCCCCCCCCCCCCCCCGAACTGATTTACCGCCGCCGTTGTTTGCGATTATTTGCGCGGCCCCTCCAAGCGGGGGAAGGCCCCCTGGGAGGCCCTAGCGGGATCGCGTCCAGCACGTGTTCTCGCCCAGTTGGGAACGTAGCGGCCATCCCGGTTAATCCTGCGGTCGTCCTCGTCGTCGTCGTTGTGCGTATCGACCGCACGAATGCCACGCGCCGCCCGCTTTGCTTTCGCGACGGACGTTTGCTGGATCCCCGTGACGTCTTTCGCTGCGCGCCGGGCGCCGTGGTCCAACTTTGCCAAATTAGAAAAATCAGACGGCAGGTTACTCGATTGGGATTCCGCGCGGCAATAACCAATTGCCCCTGCCCCACCCCCCTGCCCTCCCCACCCTACTGCGACAACTTGGCAGGACCCTCTGGGAAAAAAAATATTTAAGAAAATCGGCGAGGCTTTCCCTGGACGAACAAGCGTAATAATAATCAGAATATCCACACGCATTCCTAGTGATATGACGATGTTGACGATGACGATGATCCTCGCGTTTTCTGGAGAGTGGCGGGTGTGATGCCTCTACCCCCCCCCTGCGCTTCTACGGCCGTCTGGAACGCTCTTCCTTCCGATATTAGGAAGCCACTGAAGCCGTGCACTTCCAAATCGTCATCTATATTGACAGACTCGTTTCTTTAAAACTGCTTTTTGTGTTTAGTTTGTTGTCCTTCCCTCCGCCGCTCCGATTAGAGCGGTTGGCTACGTACGGTGCGAAAGAAGCTCAACGCACGTATATACATTGTGCCGTTAGTCTCTCTCTCTCTCCGTGGCCCGCGTGGATTTTTTCTCCGGGTTGTCCCTCCGGGTTGTCCCTCCACATTTTTAATCGTACGTTTTGAGTATTTGGCTTCTGCTATAAATTTCCACGTGATCAGCCACTTATGTCGGGCTATCATTTGTGGCCAGGTGCTGTATGGCTCAGCGGGGCCTTGACTGGTAGAAGACAAAATAGTTTTCTATTTTGTTTAAGTGACATTACTCTGCATAGGAAGCCACTGGAGCTGAGTACTTTTTAAATATACATTGAAAAACTCATTTCTTTAGAACGGAATTTTTTTGTGTTCAGTTTGTCCTTCCACCCCCGCACCTCCGATGAGCGCGGTTGGCCACGTTACGGTGCGAGAGAATCTCAACACGCCCTTGTTTGCCGTGCCGTTGCTCTGCAGGTGTTCCTGGCGAGCGTGGACGACGAAGACCCGTTCGTGTACCTCTCTGCCATTCAAGGTGCGTTGCCGGCTCAAGGTTCTCATTCTGTCTGCACCGCGTCCTTCCGTTTGCACCGGGGATGTAAGCCGAACATCCGCGGCCGCTCACGTGTTCATCCCCGCCGTTGCTTCGTCATCTCTTCCTGGACGTTCACCAATCCTTCCCAGGGTTCCCACCTCGGAACTGGGCAGGGGTGGCGTCGCTGGCCCGGCCGCACCGGCGCCGCTTTGTCCCGCGGACGTTAGTTTTGCTCGCATTCTGCCGGGGCCGCCCTGGTTATCGCTGCGGCGGTGCCGGTGTCAACCGCGAACGCCGACGTACCTCGAAGCGAAGTTGAATGGCCGTGGGCGCGTTTTGAAACATTGCACGGCAAATGGGTCCCAACGTGGACGACGCACGGCGGCGGTCGTCGCGCCCTCCGGGAAACTGCGTCCGTCCGGGAAACGTAGCGACCCTCAGCGAGAGCACTTGGCGGCGAGAACGGCGTGAATGCCAAACGTGCTAACTCGTCACTCGAGGGCGACTTTGTCTACCAGTTGGCCAATCTCTCAGCCCCCCCCTACCTCCCACCGCCTGGTAAGGCAGCAGCAGCAGCCATGAGGCAAGCCGGTGCCAACAATTGCCCAAGCTCTGCGGTCCTCTGTATATTAAACTAAACTACTTTTATTTGACCGGGGTAAGGGCCCATTGAGCTGCTGTATGGCTCTTTTTTCCAGAAGTGATTCTCGCCACCACGCAAATTACAGGCCGGGCCTCTTCCTACGTTCATCGCGATTCCCGTGATTCACTCTTGACGAGGCTCCCCGCCGCACTGAGGACCAGGGACCATCACTGCCGGGCCGTCGTTTCTCTGTGGCGAGAGGGGGGGAGGAGGGGAGTCGGGGTGGAGCGGATGGGTGGGACTGAACCATAAACTATTTTTTATTTTTCCAGCTCACCCTGATTATAAATTTTGTTGTGATGATTTATGCTAAGAGCTTGGGGCAGGGCACAACGTTAACAATGATGGCACGTGGTCGTGTCTGGTTACGCAATGAATGGCACTCAGAGAGCATAATTTGTAGCAGCGAAGTGAACTACAACTAAACTACTATTTTACCAGCTAAGGCCCACTGACCTTTACAGCTCTTATTTCAGAAGCGACCTGGCCACAAATGGTAGCTCAGCAAAGTGGCTTATCATCGTGGGGAAATGTCCAGCAGCCAAATTCCCTTGATCGCACGTTGATTCTAAATGTGGAGGGAAAAACCGGAGGACCAGGAGAAAAATCTACACGACCACGGGAGACACGCAAATTCCAAATATACAGCAGCAGGCATCGGGGTCGGGATTAAAACCATGGTTCCTGTACACCAGGCGAGGTAGTTAACATCTCCTAGCCACCGTGATGATGATGATAACAGAGAGAGAGACACGCAAACCCCAAATATACAGCAACAGGCATCGGGGTCGTGATCAAAACCGTGGCTCCTGTATACCAGGCGAGGTAGTTAACATCTCCTTGCCACCGTGATGATGATGATGATGATGAGAGAGGTTAAGATATTAAAACACCAAACAGACACCTTTTACAAGGAATCATGTCTGCATTCAGAGCGTTAACTCCGGCATGTCCAGAATCTGAAACTGCATTTATACCTGCAGGAGGAATCTGATGAGCCATGAAGCTCTTTTTCACAGATGTCCAGTTGGGGCACGGGCAAGAACGTTCCAATAACAAACACAGAATTCAAAAACGCGATAGGAGTGCACAGTGTAGGCAGAGTAAACGAATCCTTAAAAAATAAATAGGCAAATAATGCGCGACAATTTTTTTGTTGTTTCTTTCCAGTTCTAAAACCCACTGAGCTTGTTAGCTTCTTCCTCGGAAGTGAGCTGCCACGTCACAAACGACAGCCCAGCGGTGTGACCTTTCGCACAACAATAATTCAAATAATATAGACGCATCCTGCTAAGTACACTCTGTCCACGGGGGGCTGGGGGGGGGGGGGCGGTGTGAGGGGTGGAGGCGGCACGGCGCGCTGGGGGGTTTCTATTTGTGACGATGCGGTGGGATTCGACCCCTGCGACTCACCCCTACGTCCCGTGGTGCCTGCCGCTCATTTCCACGGCCGCCCCGCCTCGACCCGACCCGACCCCCCCGGACCCGTCACCACCCCCCCTCCCCCCCTCACATCTTTGACTCATTTATCCCGGCCCCGGGGACCTCGCTGACCTCGCCTCGCAAGGGCGGAGGCCGCCAAATGCGTTTCCGTGACCGCGGCGCGTAGTAAATACGTCATCTGATGTAATGTTCGCGGCAGCCCGCGCGCGCGCCCCTTGTGTCTAACCAGTTGTTCATGTCGCCCGCGTTCTCTGCGAGCGCTTTGGCTCCCCGCGGGAGCGAAGTTTTTTTTGTCTTTCTAAGATTTCACTTTTTTACTTTTGCTTCCCGCTTTTATGCTCTGGTTTGCGCGTTCGGCATCGCGTCTCGGACAGCGGTGCCGTTTGGAACTCGCGCAGAGCGGAGCGTCGGCCCCCTCCCCGCCCCCCCCCCCCCCCCAATCGTTGTGCGTTGAGAGAACGGCACGCAGGTGGAGAGATCCTCGCGGGAACCGCTTCCGAGATGCCTTGCTTCGTCGTCGGTCCTTGCGTTTTTTTTTTCTGCTTTCAATCCGCACAGCCAGAGGGTGGCGAGAAGCTCGATTGAAACAAAAAAAACGCCGATATTTTGGCTGCGTGTGCAGTCATTGGCGCTTAATTTGCATTGACCCTGAAGGAATGACTGACGGTGGTGGTGACGATGGATGTGATAGTGACAGTCATGATGATTACGATGGTAATAATGACGACGACGATGACATGATGACATGATGATGTTGTTTGCGCTGGTGGTGGTCATGACGATGGTAATGGCGATGACGGAAATGTCAACGAAGTTGATGACGACAGTGATGACGATGACAGATGATGATGATGATGGTGTTGTTGCTGATGATGGTGGTTATAGCAATGACGGCGACGATGATCCTGATGACAGTGATGATATCGAGAGTGAATCAACCCTGACCTGATGTGAACTCGCGACCCCGCGTTTAAGAGCCACACCGTGGCAGCTCAGAGCGCACCGTACATTTTGCGGGGGAGTCCATAGCTCGGGGTGGGGGTCTAGGGGCACGTGGAGACCGTGACCCTCACCCGGTTTCAAATGTGCCCCCCCCCCCCGATGCCTCGTAGTGGCGACGAGGTAGGGAGGAAGGAGGAGGAGGGAGAGGCCGATGTGGTTTTGCGTGGAGGATCGCCGCGTCCCGGTTTGTCAAATGGACTCGAGCGGTAATTCAACGTCCGTGCGACGTCCGACCCGGTTATTTCATTTGCCGCCCCACGGCCACAGCTGCCCTTCCCCCACCCCCTCCCTTGAGGGGCAGCAAGGCATCGTGGGTAGGGTTGTAATTTTCCTTCGTGTCGTCGATACGATCGCGTGCGGGGACTAAAAAAGAAACGACATAAAAGCCTGGTTTGTACGTCGGTGGGAGAATGCCAGGTGTTGTAGGCTTGACGGGGAGGGGGCGGGCGGGTTGGGTGACTCCTATTGGGGGTGGACGCACGGAGACGTGGGGGATGCTCTTGAAGAAGCCTTCTTTGGGAGGTTCCCCACTACCGTATTCTCCGGATAATACGACCACGGAGGGAATGGTACGGCTTATGGGCTGGGGAGTACGGTAATCGTGGAGTCGTCGAAACAACGAGGGTGGCGGCGTGCACAATCGAGCAACGTCTAAACCCCAGAGGCAGTGAGGGAGAAGGGAGCGACCTCCTTTCAATTTGTCCCGTCATGATTCGGAGTGATCGCCAATCGGATGTGGGGTGGGGGAGGGCGGCAAATGGAACTCGCGTGCGGCTCTCATAACTGGCAATGCACGTGGCCCCCGGGTGGGCAGCCACCTGGGCAGTCACCTGGATAGCCACCTGGGCAGCCACCTGGACAGCCACCTGGATAGCCACCTGGGTAGCCACCTGGATAGCTACCTGGGTAGCCACCTGGATAGTCACCTGGGTAGCCACCTGGATAGCCACCTGGGCAACCACCTGGACAGCCACCTGGGTAGCCACCTGGGCAGCCACCTGGGCAGCCACCTGGATAGCCACCTGGGTAGCCACCTGGGCAGCCACCTGGATAGCCACCTGGATAGCCAGCTGGGCAGGGGGGTAGCGGGGCTAGCGGGGACGAGGGGACGTGCCCGGACGTAACCGTGTGCATGCTTTTGCCACCGCGTCGCGTGCCACTTTAGCCCCCCCCCCCCCCCCCGCGGGCTGCGTGCCGTGGGTTATAACGGCGACAAGAGACCGCTAAGCAGCTCCTCATGCGGCGCTCGGTGTGCCGTGATTATTTACGGGGAGGGGGCTGGGGGGGCTCGCTCCCGTGGAAGTCGTGGACAAAATAGAAAGTCCCCCGAAAGAACAATTGAGGGAGAACCGCGAGATGGTTACCGCCCGTAATGACGCAGCCAGTACCGTGAAACGTGACGGGGGGGGGGGGGGGTGAGCGGTACGCGGGTCTGTACGCGTGTTGAACTTGGTTCTCGACGTACGTGGCCAACCGCGCAAATCGGAGGCGCGCGGAGAGGGGGGGGGGAGGCATGGACCCTAAAGCTAAACACACGAAGCAGTTCTAAAAAAATGAGTTTGTCAATCTGGATGCTTTAAAAGTGCATCCGAGCTCCCAGCGGCTTCCCGATATCGGACGGAGGAGGAGGCGTTCCAGACGGCCGCGGAAGCGCATCTGGAAGCGCCCTCGAAGTGACCGCCCTCGAGGTCTGCGCTCGCCCCCCCCGCGTGTGTTCGAGCTGTGTCACTCCCACGTGTTGGTCCTGAACGATTTCCCAAGTTGAGAAATGAGACGACGGTGACGGGACGAGGCAATTCCAACGCGGTGCGGGGGTTGAAGGGGGGGAGCACAGAGAGACCTGCGGTGCGGTGAGTGGGTGGGTGAGCGGATGAACGGGTGGGTGAGTGGGTGGGTGGGTGAGCGGATGAAC